TATTTTGATCTTGATGAACAGGACGACTATTAAATGAAGGAGTTCGGTAACTAGCACTAGGGACTGTGATTTTAGATGGCATATCTCCCATTGTATTCAAATAAGCATATAACAAATTAGCACTAGTATACTGGGCTGATCTAACAGTACGAGCCAAATGTTCATCTGTTATACCACCTATTACAGCATCGACTAAATATTGATCAGAAATTGCCAAATTGAGTGCTTTCAATTTTGACAAATTTTGAAAACAATAGTTGCCTAAGTTTTGGACAAGGTTTCATTTCATAATTGGTAGCACTCTTTAGCAAATTAGAAAATGGAACAGACTTACGGAATTGAAGTTTCATCAAACGTTTTACTTCTTCCCAACTTGCGTCATATTTGGCATTTTCGTCGAACCACTGCCGTGCGTTGCCTGTCAACTTTCCCGATATCAGCCGTATTATTGAATCATCATACCAACCATATTTTGCAGCCAGATAATCGACTACTAAGCCATTGTTCCACCACTGAGTCATCTTGAGACGAATCGAACAAAGGAACCAGAAACTCGTCACCTGTTTGATGAGTGTTCTTAACCTGCCTTCGAATACAATATTTAATCTAATCCCATAACGAACATTAATAAACAACACGTGTGGACTTCAAGAATGCTTAGCTGTGACTGTACTCATTCAACTCATCATCTCCTACAAATCTGTTTTGGCACAATCATGTCGCTAAAATTGCAAAGGCTGCTTCTCAAAAGCTTGGAACACTATTCCGAACTAGAAAACTGTACAGACCCCCGCAACTTTTGATGCTTCATAAAGCTCAGATCAGACCTTCTTTGAAGTATTGTTCTTATGTATGGAGATTTGTCTCTCTTCTATAGATACTTTCACGGGAGGTGTTCAAGTGACTTGGCACATTTCATTCCACCAAGGGCGGTACATATCAGTAATACGTGACGAACTGTGGCTGCACATCGTTTTGAGGTTCAACTCAGTACACCTCGAACTTCACTGTTTAAGAACTCTTCCACGTTTTTCCAAATGGACTTAATCTCCAGCGATTCAAATCCAATGTGAATTGCACAGGTACCGCTCTAAGAGCGCCTAAGGATTTACCTGTGGTGCTTCTGTTATGTCCTTAAATAAAAATTATGGTAGGTACACTTCGTAGTAAGGAACGTTAATGCACGTGATGCAACTTTATTTCAAATTGAACCGCGATTAAATTTTCTGTAGCAATCGTCGGTCCATTAAAGATGAAGGTCAAACTCCAGACGTGGTCGCACATTTAAAAACAAAACACCCAACTAGGAACTCGTTAAAATTAACGCCAATATAAAGTACGATTTATCTCGACTAACTTGGTCAAGCTCCGGTCCGCTTTTTAACTTCTAGTTCTAGTTCAACATGATGTGTAATTTATCTTCACCCCGCAACTAAATGTGAACATTTATAGTCTGGGCAACAAATTGAAGTGGATACTTCGTGTTCAAGTTGTGAAATAGTTCGGTATTCAACTTTGACGCAAACTGGGAATTCCTGGTAAGCAGATCACGTTTCCGAAGATTGCTTAATTGCGATATGAAGTAATGTATTGAACAATTGACAAATTGCCGTAATCATTCGATTTCGTGCACTTAGAGTAATTATCATATGAAACTGAGTACGGTTTGATCTGATTCATTTGTTAATAAAGAAATCTCGAATGTCTTGATGAAAAAGCGTTTAGTATTGAATATTTGCTATCATGTACTGCAATGATCTGCCAGAGATAGGCAGCTAGTATAGTTCATGTAAACGATATAGTGCAACCTACTATATATATATATATATATATGACAGCTTCTGATAATTCCTCTTCCATATTCTCTGTTTTGTATTACTGTCGTCATTAAAATCAATAATGAATTTATTTCCATCAATATGGAAGTGTCGAAACTCCATATAGTCGTTTCCATCTGAATTTATTTTTTATTTCTTTTCTGCCAGTTTTCTTCGGTATGTTTAGATACTTCTTCTTCAATTAGTTCCATTGCTGGTTTTTGGTTTAGTAATCTTCAAAATACAAATTGTTATCCATTAAAAAATTTTGTATTTTATCTTTCCTCGAATTTTTATTCGGTACTTTCGTTAGCTGTCGCGAATGATAGGAAGCTTCCATGTTCTTATAATAGTAATATTTCAGTCCTCAAGTTTATTTCCACATAATTTCAAAGAATTTGGAACCCATCCTTCACTTCCCCCGCAATGCACAATGATTCTTGTCTATATTCTTGTCTATATCCAGTTATAAGTATTCGTTACGCAATTCCACTATTCTTCTGCTTTCCATAAATGCTTGATAATCCTAGATTCTTTATCCAATTCTAAAGAGTTTTGTCACAGCAGTTCACGTTATGGCCAGAAATATTCAATTTCTTCCTTATGATTTCAGTTGTATCACATCGCGTCTTGCATTCATAAGGTTTGTTTTCGACTATTTTACGTATAGTTGAGAAAGGAATTTTGGTCAAATCTGTAATAGTTTTTTTCCCTCGAAACCAAACTTGAGATGTAGATTCTTATATACATTGAAACATACTTTCTGTGTTTCAATATTCAAAAGCATCCGAATCTTATTCACTGGTTTCTCTTTTTCGCATTGTTCACCATCGCTATTGGAATCACACTCGTTATTTTTATTAGTACTTGTCTAAGGAGGCCAGATTTTGAACAGATAACAAACATTTTAAGTAATTATAACTGCACCAATATCGAATTTCAACACTCAAATCGCGATCAGTTCCTGAACTGAACACGACGGCGATTACCATCACGGCATTTCCGATTTCTATTCGTCATCGTAACATGACTTCAAATTTAATTTTATGACTCTTCAGCCAATCAAAAAACTCGGATAGCAGAAATTATCCAGTACGAACCGCCAATTCTCCAGTCCACGTGGACTAATTCGCAGCCGGTTCATTTCTATGCATTGGTATTTTGGCTTTTGAGAGTGCCGACAACTTTCAGTGTTCACAGTACCGTTTACTTCGACTATACAAGTTATGATACAAATTTTCCTTTTTTTTTTCTGTGGTCTGCAGGTTTTTATGACTGAACTTTCATCTACTACTGTTATACCTAAAACAGACACGTTTCTTTCATTGGAAAAATCGCCAGCAAAATTATCCGATGAATTATATACCCATTGTGTGAGGTTGAATTTTCCAATCGACATTAACTCTTCTGATTGACCAATAAAAGTGTCCAATTCTTCAATATTATTGACACTGGTGACACAGTTGTCAACGTAAAACGATGTTTTCAATTTATCAGCAGTGTTCTTTGTAAGTGCCGGATTTGTTACATTATTTTCCTTCTGAGTACCAGAATCTTTTAATAATGTAGTCACTAGACTTAAGGATTTATTAATATTTTGTATTTCACACTTTGCTAAATGTTTTGTAAAATTGTAAATTGTAATGTGGACATCAGACATGAGCATTCAAAATTACTTTGTAGTTCTTTACATTTTGTTAAATATGTTTTTTAATTGTCTTTGCCGTTGAATAAATAAATAAATGAATACATCAGACATTCAAAAATGTACAGAGCATAAACAGTCATGATGTTATTATATTTTAAAACTGTTCCACGAAAGTTCTTATATTGTTTGTAACTGATTATTCTCATTACCCTTTTTTGAATAACAAATATTCTATTTGTATTCTTATTGGATCCCAAAAAATTATTTCGTATCTCATTACAGAATAAAAACTTGCAAAATAAAGAGGTGGAGCTGCTTTTCTAGATGTTTACTGGCCATTCTTAGTTCATAAGACACTTTTCCAAGCTTTGAAGAAACTAGGTGTCATGCGATAACTGAAAAGTATTATTGGTAAATGATATTATATCATATGGCTTATATGGACTACCAATCAACATTACATGAAAATCGTGGATTATTTCAATTTGATATCAACTGCGAAACATTCTCGCAGAATAAATTACTGAAACTACGGAGGACCTGTAATCCTTTGCCGTGTTATATGAATCCCTTTGAAGTTATAACAAACCCTTTCACGTCCCGGTTAATGGAAAAAAGGACAACTTCATAAAAAATGATGTTTAGTTCACCGAATGCGCGAAAATCTCTCCTGAAAGCCTGACGGTTACATTTTCGTCGCTCCTTCCATTTTTGCAACTGTCCTTTCTCCTGACACAATCGCATCAGGACTGCGGAGAGAAAACTGACGAAGAGAATGCCGTTTCGAGGATTATGACGTGTAAATGGTGGAAGTTTGTAATTTTATTGGTGTCGGGATATTTCTCTTGCGTGTTTTATGCGGTAATGTAGATTTACACCCCTGGGGATTTACATACCTTTTAGATTATATCCGTACACTTTGGTTGGCTGATGAAAATTTCAGGGTGGTAATCAGATTAGGATTATTTGATTTGCTTCTCATTGAAGACGGAACAACCCTAATGATTTTAATTTTTTTATGGTCTGAATATAATCTAATTGAGTCAGTTGAACAGTGAAATATGCTGTTGTCTGACTCTATACTACAAATCTCAAAGTACTTTTTATGAATTCTTTTGTTCGCAACTTTTTGCGATATAGAAATTGGGTGGACCCAGTAAAGTATTACGAACCGGCCTTTACCAGCTGTGGCAAGTTATGACGACACAAACAAAATTTTGTTTGAGTACTCACTTGACGTTTTGCATTCATAATCAGTATTTACTACTCTTTACCATTAGGAAACAGTTCACAAATTTCAATTTTGGAATAGGTAGTACCTACCTACCTGAAAACGAAACGTAAGTGTTAGCTCAACCTTCGAAATTATACGTGAAAACTCAATTACAATCTTCTTCATCACGTGTGTCTCAGGCCGGGTCGCTTGAAATTATTTTATCGCGCGATTATCATATTCATCAAATACTTGAGACAACTGATGTATTTATTCGATAATAAATGATAATTTTTCACAAATTAACAATTTAGTAGTAAATTCAACAATAATCAGAAAGAATTGATATAGTCCATCATAGATTGTTAGTGTAAACAAAGCATGAAAGGCCGATAAGTGCAAGAACACTTGTTCCAGCATTAAAGAAGGTTCGACGACTGTCTAAGTTGAAGAAGAATCTTTTATAATTTTCGTGTATGCAGTCGATAAGGGTATGGTAAAATAAGTGAAGTTTTCTGTTCTAGCTTTTGAGTCTTTATTGTCTCTTTATCAGGAACTTAAAGTGAGGTTAGTAATCACTCTCACTTGCCGCGATTTGTAAACATACGTTTCCCAATAGACAAACACTCTTGGTGAAAAACAACATGAAGGCAAGTGAAAGGGATTACTAACACCACTTGGCGTACACTTGGTACTCCTAGTGGAAAATTTTAAGCTTTCCATCACTTGTCAGATGTCACTCTGGCATATTTCAACGTTCTATCTTCAGACTCGTTCATTTGAATCCTGCATGAACGAGGTGAATAACGGTCTGACAGAAATAATATTTCATAAAAAAAAAAATTTAATCATTCAGAATTGTATATCAAGTTTTATCTTCACCAATGTCTCTATATTCCGGAGAGGTGCATTGTGACATGCTCCGGGTTGCCCCTTTTCTCTCATGCAGGCCTACGACTTTGTAGATACGTGTGGCAGATATCCAACGGCCAAATTAAAAAAGAAGAATGTATTATGAAGAAAAACGTATCATCTTTCAAACAAGGTGAAGTTTGGTCCTCAATTCGTTTTGAGACTTAAGAACTAGATTTTAGGCTGCTGCGAGGGGTTGGAAGGGACAAGTTTGAAAATAGAAAAAGATTTTTCTCTTATATAAGGAATTCATTTACTGAACGTCAACTATGGAATCACCCTGTATTTGTGTAATTTCAACTGTCTTCCTCCCTATTATCTATGTATCAATCTCCGATTATTTCAAAGCAAACAAAATGACTCACAATGTGATCGTATACGATCATGGATAAAATTGAAATAGACGTTATGAAATATCCTCAATATTTCTTATCAATCGGAAACTTCAAATCTGAGTAGACTATAGTATTGCTTTGTCGTAGTGCGAGTGTACTATATAGAACATACTCCTAAAATATAAAAGTTATATTGTGTTTCCGAGTATCGCTGTATAAATTCACCTCTGCAGTGAAGGTATTTAATACATTTTGAATAATAATGTATTAGTGAAGCGATATTTCATTATTTTTCGTTTGAAAACATACTCGATACACTTCATGTTTATCATGGATGTCCAATTTTCGCTCAAGTGCATCACATATTATTTTTATCATTCATTCAATTTCGAAAACAAACATGTGGGCATGAAATTATGATCAATATTGTAAACATAATTGAGTGTAAACATCAACATTAAACTTTATCTCAAGAATCATTTTATAGTAATTATATTCATACTACATATACTGTTTGAATTTCTTTCAAAATAATGTCGTCTTTTCTCATATAGTCAGTGGGCATACTTGAAGACTGGGTATAAATCAAATCATCTGAAAGAACAATTCATTC